GTGAAGGCAACTTTTTGGATGGTAGAAGTGGTGGTAAGGACGAAGTCGGTGATACTTACAAAGTTGCTGACGCCAGTGACAATGTCTGGGCGTGATGCATCATATAATCTAACGTTTAATTAGTTTTTAATGTAGTTTAGTATGTGTTAATATTGCTCTATTATGAGTTTTAATGCTCTTTGCTTTGTATCTGAAGGTAGCGTCCTATCACTCTGCCCATACCTGGTCGAGGATTGACTTTATGTTGTGCTTATCGGTCAATCAAATGAAACGGCTGACTGATTGAAGCTTTCCACATTTAGTTAATTGGTCGTGTCTCGTTCCTGAGTGAGGCCCAAAATGATGCATCACTGTCTACATTTCAGAGCTTCCGCCGTTGAGCCGGTATCTGTGAACTTACTGCACCCATACGTGTATTTGCACTGAAGTTGAGACGCTGTAGAGAAGCTGTGATTTTGATTATTACATCTGCAACTAATTACCTATATATTACGTAAGCAAACACCTCATAAACTGTCCGACACTAAAGACTGAGGCATATTTGCCATATGGAGTCCAACAACCCGCAGACTAGAGGAGTCTATGCGGTCAATATTAACAATAACATTACAACATCTGTAGAGATCTATTGTTATCTATAGTATAACCGTCATTATTGAACTCATATAATTGAGATTAAATGCTTCATTTGTTGAATGATAAAAGAACGTAGGAGTGCTACAATTCGTGTCAGCTGCAAAGTTAAATTTAGCATATATTAGCTTGATAAGTTATAGGTTTACTATTGGAGCTCCATCCATGTGGGTGTTGTTAATGCTTCCTCGACGTAATCCCTTAACATGTCATAATGGCGATACCATCTGATTCTATCATTCCATCCGGCAGGACGAGCGCCGTAATGTTTCACCAGTAAAAATTTGCCAATGTAAGCACAGAGCCAGTTGAACAAATAGATATGGATCGGCCCAGGTGGTGCTCGACCGAGCACCATCATAATACGGTCCGGCAAAATATCGTCAGCCTTTTCAGTCAGTCCTTTGAATATTTCTTCATATTGTTTATGCGATTCTTCCGTCGGGTCATATTTGCTTACTCGCTCAAGGACTTGTTGGAAACGTTGCTGGGCAACTTCGGGACTCCACTCCACATCCTCGGACCAAGGCAAGCGACACCGCGGCATCCAGCTTTTCTTTTGAGCTGGCTCATTATTATCACCTGAGAGGTTAGCACTTTCTCGCTTAGGTACTTCTAC